GAACTCAGGACCTTGTGCTTGCCAGATAGGCACTTATGCCACAGAGCTATATCCCCGGCCCCATGTAGGGCTTTTGGGACAAACACTTACAAGCCCTTACCATGTGCCAGACATTGATCTAAGAGCTTTGGTATCTGTAGGAGGTAGTTTGGAACCTCCTGCAGATATCAAGGGACATCTGTACTGAAGCCTTCTTTTTGTAAAGCCAAATGATCTTATGTTTTCTTTTCTTTCTTTCTTATTTTTTAATGTACTACCAGGGATTGAACCTAGGGCCTTAGCACTGAGCTATATCCCCAGTCGTCTTCTTCTCTGAGACAAGGACTTGTTCAATTGCTAAATTGCTCAGGCTGGGGTTAAACTTGACATTTTCCTGCTTCAGCTTCCCAGAGTGCTGGGATTACAGGCATGTAATTCCTGGCTGATCTTATGTTGAATAAAGAATGTAAGCTTTTTGTTTGTTTTTCAAGACAGGGTCTCACTATATAGTTCAGGCTGGCCTTAAATTTGAAGCAATCGTCCTGCCTCAGCCTCCTGAGCACTGGGATTACAGGTATGAGGTGTGTTGATGCACCCCAGTGCTGCCTCTGCAGGAAGCTGGGAGCCCCAGAGTGAGCCATGCTCTGCGGGTGGGTCACCTACAAAGTCTGCCTTGGAGCCCAGTCGCTGTCTCTGGTCCTTGTGGAGAAGGCCTTTTAGGAGGTCACAGGCAGCCACTGTCCGGCCCCCGGGGATCTGTAGCGGCTGGTGCAGAATGTTCTCGTACATCTGGGCAACGTCTCGGCTGTAGAAGGGTGGCTGGTGAGAGAGGGAGAGAAGCTGCAAAGTCACCCATGGAGCACGGAAGGAGGGCCCAGGGAGACAGACCAAGCGAGCAGCGAGGAGGATTCAGCCAGACCTATGCCGTGTGCGGAGGCACATCGCACAGAACTGGGAGAGTCAACAACTCCAGACTTCCAGCACAGGGCAGAGCGCTGCAGGGAAGGCCAGGAAGCTCTGCCTATGGACGGGAGGCTCACGGAGCTCCCAGTGCTCCCCTTTCCCAGCTCTCCTAATCCAGCTGTGTGCCAAGTTCATACTTCAGCCCAGCTCATAACCATCCCCAGGGAGGCTGTGGTTGTTCAGATTAGAAGGCAAGACTCTGGGGAATTAAACCACACAGCAAGTAGGGAAGAGAGCCAGGCCTCAAGCCGTACCTAGGGTCCAATTCTCCCTCCTGCTGCTCTGCTCCTCGACCTGCTGGCCCTTCTCCTGAGCTCGCAGCGTCTAGTCCTTCCCCTGCACCATGCCATGCTGGTGACCCCGCCAGAGAGGAGCCTGCCCTGGGTCCACACAGGTCTCCACCTATGCCGGCAGCCCAGGATGGACTCCATTATGGTTTGTGTCTGGATGTGTCCCCCCCAAAGTCTCACGCAGTCACAGGGCAGGATTCTAGAGTTTCTGACTGATTCATGGATGTGAGTGTTACACCCACCCTGGGGCAGGTAGCTTGCACACAGTGTGAGGGAGGGAAAGAGGCTTGTCTCCTGCTGCTCCTCCCTTTTGCTCTTGTTGCTTTTGCTATTTTCCCTCACCACGAACTGCTTCCCTCTGCCATGTGCCACTCTGCCTTGGAGCCAGCCGAGTATGGTCTGAAACCTCTACAAACTGTGAGCTAAATAGACCTTTCCTTCCTTAATTTTGGGCGTTGGGTATTTTGTCTCAGCAACAAGAGAAAAATAATCAAGACCAAGCTCCTAATCTGTCTGCACTGTGACCTCTCCTGGCTTCAGTTGATTTCTTTCCTTTCACAGAGCTTGGAGAGACCCGTCCTCCGCTGTCCCCAGAGCCAGGTGTCCTGGGTAGAGAACAGCACCCCACTCACCAAGCCATGCAGCATCTCGTAGACAACTGCTCCTAAACACCACCAGTCCACTGCTCGGTCATAAGGCTCTTTACGAAGCACTTCAGGAGCCAAATACTGTCGGGGAAACATGCTTATTTGAAACACACTTATTTAAAAAGACCTTCAGTCTCAATTTCTACATCTGTAAACAAAGCATTTAAGGAAGGTCAGCAGGGATTGATCCTACAATGATATTCATGTAGTTGGGCACATACTCATTCTGCTTCTATTCCCCCAAAGGCTTAACTTTTGCAGGGCCCTTTGACATGCTCTGGTGACATAAAGATGAGGCAGGACTGCCCTGTACAGCTGAACATGCTATATATCACAAAGAAGATTTTTGTTGTTTATTTGTCTTGAGACATGATCTTGCTATGTAGTGCAGGCTGGCCTTACACTCAATATATAGCTCAGACTGGCCTCAAATTCATGGTCTCTTGAGGCCTCTGTCACTAAGGCTTTCAGTACAAGTATGTGCCACATTCCTTGACATGGTCCTTTAGTCTCCCCAGTGCATTGTGAGGGTACTCCCTGGGTTTTCCTCTTGCAGTCTCCCGAGTGCTGGAATTATAGGCATGTGCCACCACATCTAGCGACATAGATGTTTCACCAACCAAAGAGGTAGAGGGGCTGCAATCTTGGTTGTGCCCCATTCACCAAGCTATAACTAGTTCATAAATACATTTGGCAACTTTATTTTGCTTAAAGCGGTGCTTTTCCTAGTTAGTCTGCCTAGAGTGGGTGCCTTCTTCCAACTTGCACTGCTGGCAGTCTGATGGTTCAGCTGTCAAGCTTTGGAGGGCCAGCTTCATCCCACGAACACTCCCAGACACAAACACAGACAGTAGCTCCTGCTCAGGGAAGTCACCTGTCCATCAGCTATCACAGCACTAGATGGAGGAGGAACACCTGAGATTCCAAGCCCAGGCTTTCAGGCATCTGGAGAAAACACAGCAGTTCCAGTCCTGCCGTTGGCCAAGTGTGGAGGAGCTCCCTAGCTCTGCAGCCATCACCCTGGTCTCTGTCCAAGCCACTAGGACTCCTTTTGGGTTCAAAGTCCAAGACTGGTGGGAGTTCAACAAAAGGCAGTAACCCCAAGGCTGTAAGGAGTCCTTGGCAGGATAGACAGACACGTGGAATTGCTGCTGAGACCCACATGTTTTAACCCTCTGGGCTCTTGGCTGGGGAAGAGGGAAGTGAACCTGTGTTTAACATTCCCAAGTGCTGATCTTAAGCCTCAGGCCAGGCCTTGACATTGTCTGTGGACTTTGCCCTGTGGGGCTGTGCCATCTGCTACAGCAGCCAACAGCCACATGTGGCAGCTGAACGCATGGAATGAGACTAAATGTAAAATATGTACTAGGTTTCAAAGATGTAGAAAAAATACAATATTTCAACAATTTTTATATGGATTATACATTAAAACGAGGATTTTGGGTTAAACACAATAGATTGTTAAAATTAATTTCACCTGTTTCTTTACTGTTTTGGAGGCCTGGTACTTGGGGTAGACTTTGGGCCTCACACATGCTAGGCAAGTGCTCTTCCAAGGAGCTACACTCCAGCCCTGTCTTTTAGTTTTCAAACGTGGTTGCTGGATACTTGTAAACGTATACGGTTTGCATGTCTCTCTATTGGGCAACACTGCCACAGAGTTTTGCCACGGCCAGCAGGGGTCCAGCTACCCCAAGAGCTGGTGGCCTTGTTACAGAGAGGAAACCAAGGCTCGGTGCAAAGCTGGCTCAGAGGAAGTGCTGGGGTGGAGGGAGTCTAACCCTCTTGGCTTGAAGGGCTGTGTTCAGGAGCTGTGGCCTCAGCTGTTCGTGGCCTGCCCTCTCCTAGGATGCTTACACTTACCTCAGGGGTGCCGCAGAATGTGGATGTGGTCTCCTCAGGCTCTACACCTTCCTTGCAAAGGCCAAAATCTGTCAGCACCACGTGTCCCTGAGGACAAGAGACATGGGCAGGAGGGTGGCCTTAGCCAAACCAAGGGTGTGATCTGGTCTAAAGTGAATCCCACATGTCACACCCCAGGGCAGTGGCTGTGGGGTCTAATGCCCAGATGCAAACTATAGGCTCTTCAGACTCCTAGACTGGATGCCACAAGTACCAAAGGGCACAAGGTGAGGATGTGGCATTACACTGTCTTCCCCAGCTCATCACAGACTAAGACTCAAGCCTGTAACAGTGGCACCCCCAGCCATTCCCGCTGGACAGCAATCTCCTTGACAGAATGCTGGGGCCCAGAAAGCAACAACCTCTGTGGCAGCTGAGCAGGAGAGTAGAATGGGTGGAACCGCGGGGCTCTGCCCAGACCCCTCTGCTAGAGTAGCCATGCTCATCCTCCAGTGCTGGGACATTGCCCCAGGAAGCCACCTGCACTCACCTCTCCATCTCAAAGTCTGTTTCCACGGAACCGGGTCCAAGACAAAAGGACTACAAAATCCACTAGCCTCTACCTGGCTCCATCCCTAACCCCCCACCTGAAATATACACATGTGTACACATATACATGTACACATAGTCTCCCTGCATACAACACACACATATATGCACACATGCACGCATACAGAACTACACCCTCTACCCATGTGGATGCATGTACAATGCTTACATATCTGTGCACACAGACCCACTGCAACCATGCCCAGACACACAGACACACACAGACAGACACACACACACGCGCACACACACATACACACCAACCTGGCAGTCCAAGAGAATGTTCTCTGGCTTCAGGTCCCTGCACAAAATAAGAGAAAATGGCCTGGTGGAGTCTCAGCCAGGGAGTGAGAGCTGGGGGCACTGGGTCCAGGTGGAAGGACTAGTCAGGGAGGCTGTCAGAGGGAGGCTGGATACTTGGCTATATGAAGGAGGATGCCCAATCCTACCCCGGTTGTTTACCCCTTCTCAGACAAAAATCCAAGTTCACCAGGATTTTGTAGGGATTTAGGTGTCCACACAAGCCCTGGCTGTTGGAACAAGATGGAGCGGGGCCTGGCTCCGAACCACTGGTAGACCTCACCTGTAAATGATGTTGAGGGAGTGCAGGTAGCCAATGGCACTGGCCACCTCAGCGGCATAGAACCGGGCCCGGGGCTCCAGGAACCTGTGCTCCCGCTGCAGGTGGAAGAAAAGCTAGGGGAGGATGCATGTGAGAGAGGTTACTTGGCTCCAGCTTCCGGAGTACAGCTCAGGGGCCCATGTGACTCTATCCTTGTGCCACTGGCCTGCTCACCCCAATCTGAGCTGCAGGCCAGAGACGGCATGCTGGCCCTACCCCACAGAGCAGTCCACATGTCCAAAGTGTTAGCAGGAGGAAAAATTAATTAGCACTAATTAAGCACCTCCTATGTAGAAAATAAAAATATATAT